ATAAGCTCTGGGCATCATTTCCTGTCTATTATATTTCATGAGCCTGAGAAAACTAAAGCTAGAATTTTTCCAGATTTGGCAAAAGCCCTAAGGATAAAAACAGTTTTTCTCTCTGGATTATTTGCCCACATTTATATTTTGGCCTAAATAATTATTCTCTTGATTGTTCTACTATTTTGGACTCGTTTATATTTTATCAATTATTTTTAGTTATTTTTAATGTGAGAGGCAGCCTTAATGTCTAGCTTACTATAATTAGTGGAAAGGGAATCCCCATTAACTATTTCTTCATTCCTGCTATTTATTTGGCTCCAGCGTAGGTTCTAGAATACAAGTCCACCTAAATCAATGCCACTTAGTGTGGTCTGTGAGCCAGCACTGGTCTGTGAGGGGTTTGTTATCAGCCCACAATAAGATACATACAGACATTGAAAGTGAGTGTAAGCAAGTAAACCTCTATCCTATCTTGACCCAGAGTGGTAATTTTCAAGGAAAAGATGAGCATTTTGTTTTGTCATTGGATCTTCTAAAACAGTTTGATTATTATCTCTTCATTGACCAGAGACTGAGTAGCACAGTGTCTAAACTAGGATGGTTTTTAGATTATTTTTGGGGTCGCATAAATACTGATAAATGTTATAAATACTCTCCCAAGAAATATGTGCATATACAAAGAATAAAAGTTAATATAAATTGTCAGTATATAACTATGGATCCTCTGAAGCCTTATAGATCTTGGTTTTTTAATCCCAGCAAGAGACAAAGGCAGAGAAAAGACATTTTGAGTAATCCATTCATCCTCCAACAATGCCATTCCACTTATTTGTGAGTATAAACTAGAGTAGACAAAAGCCGGACCCGATAACTGATTAACAAGGGAATAAGTTGAAAGATGTCATTTATTAGTCACTCATTCATCCAAACCAAATCTGAGTGCCTACAATGTACCAGATCAAGTTCTGATCTCAGATCACTGCTCCAAAAATTGAAATTTGTCATTCTTCCATCCCTCACCCCCAACCTCTACCCCTAGAACCTGTGCCCATTAGTAGAATTCCACAGTTAAAGAGTCTTGGTAGGAGGCAGAGACCACCTCCCTCCATAAAAGATTCCCAAACATTCTTGTAGTTGGACACGGCATGAGGCTTCACCAGTCAGGTGACCACATGCTGGACTGACTCAGGACACAGAGACACAAAAAAGCTGGGACTGTGCAGAATGCATTTGGCAATGGTGGCATGAGTGACAGTAGTGTCATCCAGTTGCCACGAGCAGCAGAGACAGCAGTCCTGGCCGCAGGATCCAGTCTCCATCATCAGGAGAGTCAAGATTAAGAACAGTGGAATCTGTGCCCAACAGTAGGGGCAGTGGTTCCTATGTCGGATTCGAGGCCGTGATAATTTCTCTCTGTCTATTTATCTATCTATATTAATTTATGTTTCGATTAGAAGAATTTGGAATCTGTTGTTTTCACCAAGAAGTGACTGAGAAATCCCTGTAGGGAACAGTTTCGGAGAGCAAGGATGCAGAGATTTTTTTTTTCCAGCTTTGATGAGATATAATTGACACATAACATTGTGTATGTCAAAGGTGTACAACCTGTTGATTTGATACACTTACATGTTGCAAAATAATTACCACCATAGCGTTAGCTAACACCTGCATCACGTCACATAATTACCATTTCTTTTTTGTGGTGAGAACATTTAAGAACTCTCTTAGCAATTCAGAGATGTTCTTTTGCAGAGCTGATAACCACTTCCAAAATCTTCCACCTGGCTACACCCCATGGTAGAGAAAAAAACATATATCTCCTAGCATATGTCTTGCCTTTTCCCTCCCAGGAAAAATCATTTAAATACGGATTTAAGACCCTTCCCTACCTTGAACGCTCCCTGATCATTGGCATCAGTGGTTCCCAATCTGGGTGAGCACTAGGAATGCTTGTGAGCATGTTAAAAAATACTCAGGCCTCTCCCCAGACCCACCTTCTCAGAATACTGGGCACAGCACCCAAGAATCACTTATTTAACTAGCCCTACATCTGAGGCTGATTCCCATGTAGGAATCCTGGTCTACGTTCTTGCTACAAAATGTGGGCTCTGAAGACCAGCAGCATCAGCACCAAACTGGTTATAAATCCACAATCTCACACTCTACTCCAGACTGTCTAGATCTTAACAGGATGTCCAGGGGTTTCCTGTGCACAGGAAAGTTTGGAGCGCCCTGGTCTCCATGCCTTCTAGACGCAGTGTCAGAACTGTGCAGTCTGCCCTAGGTGTGTGGACTGACCAGATCCCTTAGCACTGGGGGGTCCAGGGTTCAGTCCTTGTTCCTTTCTCTTCTATCGTCATCAAAACTTTGGTGACCTCATCCATTCTCAAGGCTTTAAATATCGTTTATATGGTGTCACCTCCCAAGTCTATTTCTCCAGCTCAGACACTTCTCCTAAACTCCACACTCGCATATCCAATTGCTAAAACTAACCTCACTTGCATCTAATAGACATCTTTGTTTCAACTTTCCTAATTGGATGTCTATGATGCCGCTTCTTCAAACGTGCTGCTTCTAGAGTCTTCCCCAATTTCACTGAAGGCACTCCATTTTTCTACTTGCACCGTCTGAAATTTGGGGTGTCCTCCTTCATTCTTCTTTTTCATAACCAGATTTAACCCATTAGGAAATACTGTAAAGCCCATCTTCAAAATATATCCAGAATCCAATCACTTCCTTTTATTTCTCTGCTCACACCCCAGACAAAGCAACTAACATCTCTAGCCTGGAACACAGCACTGGTCTCCCACAGTGTTCTCTACTGGTTGTTCCTCCTTCACCTCTTGATTCTGCTCAGCACCAGACTTATGCTTCTCAAGAGAAGTCACACTAGGTCGATCTTCTGTTCAAAACTGTCTTGTAACTCCACATCTTACTCAGAGAAAAGTCGAAATCTTCCAATATCCCCAAGGCCAACATGAGCTGGGTGTTAATTCAGACCTCATCTCAATTACTCTCTGCTCCAGCCACACCGGCATCCTTGTTCTTCCCAGAACAAACAGACACACTCCTAGTGCATTTGCACTGGAGGTTCCCCTGCCTCGAAGAACTTCCCCCAGACATCCTCATGGACAAATCATATCCTTCAAGTTTTTATTCAAGGTCACTTTCCCAATGAGGCCCACACCAACCACCCTAGTAAAACAGCCATCTTCCCTGTCCCAACACACTCATTCTCTGGGTCACCTTCCTCAAAGCACGTACAACTTCTAACGTAAACACGTCTCTTATTTACTATGCTTATAGCATACAGTTTGCCCCTTACCACGAGAACACATGCTCCCCATGGCTGGCAATTGTTGCCTGTTTTCAGTTCACTGAGGTTTCCTAGATGCAAAATTATTTGTCATATATCTGGCAAACAACAATTATCAGTTGAATGAATGATCAGTGTAGAGCATCCCCCTAATTCTAGACACAGTATCTTGATTAATGTAACCTCAGGCCACATTCTGTTTTGTGGCAGCTACAGCACAACGTCCACTCACACTGACATCAATGCTGCCTGTACTTTTCTCTCCTCCCTCCCTCCCACAGCTGCCCTCCACACACAATTATATTTCTCTCTACAGAAAAAAGAATCCTAGGCTTATGGGTCCTACTTTCCAATCAACTGAGAATCTAAAGTACACTCTGCTTTATAAATCTGTGAGTTTGCATCTGAGCCAGCACTAGGATGACTAGAGCTGAAGGCAGAGAGAGCGGGCAGGGTGCAGATGAGATAGAAACCCAACTGGAATTTATCTAAGATGAGATACTATCAGATCCCTCCTCTCTGCTAATTCTAGAATCTGGTTCTTTAAAAAGGGGGGATAGATGGAAAGAACAATCCAGGAAACAGCCCTAGAAGGAGGATGAGAGCTGGATTAGTCTGAAAATTCATCTCTTGATACCATTGACTCCCATGTGCAGACAATGACAGGCCAAACGACTCCTGCTGTTATTAGAGATGGGGGACACCCAGAGGAGAATGAGACCAGAACTTGTACACAACAACAAGAACAGGCCTAATCCAAAAAAACCCCCAAAGAAACAAAATATAAATACACATGTGGTAAGGGCTGAGGGCCGGAACCAGGACTGAACCTAGGCTGACCAGGACACAGGAAGCTCTCGCTGCCCATAGTCAAAAAGACACGACAGCACCCAGTTAATGTCCCAGTCCCTGTGATCACAGGTCCTAGTGGGACAAGGTTCTACTGAAGGGACAAGGACAAAGGAGCAGAGAGATGAACCAGCTGAGGAGGGAGCATGTCAAAGCCCATGATGCACTGAGCACTGAGTGGGCACAGGCCCCATTCACACTCAGCTCCTCACAGTCCTCTGACTCCACCTCTAACAGATTCAGCACAGCAAATACATGAATTCTGGAAGGTTCTCAGTGTTTCCATTATTTCCTCTCTCAAACTTTAGGAAATTTCTCCTTTAATTAACATATTAATTCCTTATGACAAGAATTAGAAAAAAACTCATATCCGCATTCATATTTTCAGTAAGGAAGTAAGTTATTACTACTCAGAGCAACGTGAAGTTAAGACAGGGATAGAGATGGCCCAGCCCAGCCTCTGCTGGAACATGCAAGTTGATCAGGGGAACAACACAGGTCAGTATGGGGAGGGGTCATGGTGGGCAAGGAGTGGGCCAGTCTCCCCACCTCCTCTCATTATGCTAATAGGAACACAGACACATTCAGATACCAGTTGCAGAAAGAGAAGTCAGGGTTCTTGAAGTCAAAAAGCTGGGGTGTGAACAAATCTGTCATCACTCAGCCCCCACAAGGCAGTTGTCTCACACTGTGAAAGAAAATAATCATGAACAAACTCAGGTCAGTCACATAAGCATTGACATTCTCAATAGCCCACCACAAGCTCAAAATGGCCGAATCAAAGAATCCCCATACCCAGTCCTATCCCCTCTGACCCAACTCCTCCACCACTTCACCTTTAGCACCTGTGAAAGACACATCAGAGCCCTGGGCACTGTCACCGCCTGGGGTAGAACAGAACAGGACGTGGTCAGAGCCCACAGGAGATGAAACTAAAGGAGGAATTATGGGGTGGGTGAGCTCCCCCATGGGATCCGTCTACACTATTCCAAGAGATCAAGCCCCCAACCCAAATTTACTTTCAGCCTGAGCATAACTCCCTCTTTCTTCCCCTGTGGGAATAAAATAGAGAGAAGACTGGGTCATGAGATCCTAGAGAAACCCCCTAATCTGGGTCCACAGGGAAGTTTCCAGAACTGTGACTGAAGACCCAGGGCAGGATTGGGAAACATGAAGAAAGGAAATGTGGGGGACTGGACCAACTGCCCTCCTGGAGATCTGTCCTCAGCAGGGACCTTCCCCTCTGACCTTCAACTGCTGGGAATCAGGTCCCCAGCACCAGAATTGTCAATGTGAAAAATCCGTCTTTAATTTTCACAAGTGCTTTATAAAACAGGGTTAGCAATCAGCTCCAGAGTGGCAAACACATGTGTGTGGATTGGACTTCCCATTAATGAGGCAGGGCAAACTTCTATGTGGGCTTGAAATCCCCCAGTGGGACAAGAAAACTCAGACTACACCCCTTCCCTACCTGAGCGCTTCTTCCTCCAGATCACAGCTCCAGCCACCACAGCTCCAGTGACCACAGCTCCAAGGAGAACCAGGCCAACAATGATGCCCATGGTGGGGATAGTGGGCTGAGGTGGCAGCTCTGTGAAGGGAAGGGAAGGTGAGGGGCTCTGACCTCAGCCTTGAGTCCTGATCTTGCTTAAGGTGTCAAGAGTGCTTCTTTTTTACTGGAAGAAGCACATCTATCATCCCCCTTCTTACTCCACCTCAGGGTGATGGGCTCAGGCAGCCCCTCATGCTGCACATGGCAGCTGTATCTCTGCTCCTCTCCAGGAGGCACCACCACAGCCGCCCACTTCTGGAAGGTCCCATCCCCTGCAGGCCTGATCTCCACAAGCTCTGTGTCCCGGGTTAGGTCCTCCCCATCACACTGCCAGGTCAGGGTGATCTCTGCAGGGTAGAAGCTCAGAGCCCAGCACCTCAGGGTAACCTCCCAGTCAGAGATGGGGTGGTGGGTCACGTGTCCTTCTGGGGGATCTGAGGAGGAAGAATCAGAAAATTCACATCTTCAGTTACCTCCATGGGCCACTGATGCATCATTCATGTGACCATCGTGAGAATGGACAGAGCAACTGGTTTGGGAGGAGGAGGCACAAAACCCAGACATACGCTTGGACTTGAGGATCTGGCATAATCTCCTATTCTTTGAAATGTTCTAGAATCAGGGTGACAGCCCAGGGTAGGAGGCTCCAAGTCTTTGAAGAGCAGAACACAGACTAATGGTCCTGACTTTGGTGCCAGCTGAATGGCTCTGAAAAGCTGGAGTCGGACCTGCAAAGATATTATCAGGCCGAGAACAGGGCCTTGAGAAAGTCATGGTTCACAGGATGGCTGCCAGGGTCAAAAGAAATCAATGATGGGCAATTTCAGCAATGGTCTCCCTTTCTATTCCTGAAGAAACTGGATTCCTTAACTGTCCTTTAGAAAAGGGCGGGCCTCTCCGCGAGTCACTAGTACAAAATATGAAAACCTGGGTGGATTCCTCCCTCTCCTGAGGGGCAGTATTCTGACACTCATCCCATTTCCCTCCCCTGTTTGTGAGATGCCAGCCCAGCCCCAGGGGAGATCGGGAGGCCCCGCGGCTCCTCGTACCTGCGCGCTGCAGCGTCTCGTTCCCGTTCTCCAGGTATCTGAGGAGCCACTCCACACACCTGCCCGTCAGGTAGTTCCTGTCGAGCTCCGCCTCACCGGCCGCCTCCCACTTGCGCCGGGTGATCTGAGCCGCCGTGTCCGCCGCGGTCCAGGAGCGCAGGTCCTCGTTCAGGGAGATGTAATCGGCGCCGTCGTAGGCGTCCTGACTGTACCCGCGGAGGAGGCGCCCGTCCGGCCCCACGTCGCAGCCGTACATTGTCTGGAGGGTGTGAGACCCTGACCCCGCCCGTGTGGTCACTCGGCCCCGCCCCCGACCCGACCGCCCGCAGTGATTAAACCTAAACTGAAAATGAAACCGGGAAAAGTCTCCGCCGGCTCTTCCCGGGTCGGGGGTCCGGGCGGGTCCGGCAGCCTCGGGGGGAATCTCGGACCCGGAGACTCGAGGAGACCCCGGCCCGTCCGTGGGGGTGGGGGTCGTGACCTGGACCCGGGCCCGCGTCGCTCACCGGCCTCGCTCTGGTTGTATTACTCGAGCGCGGTCCGCGTCTCGTCCTCCCAATACTCCGGCCCCTCCTGCTCCAGCCACGGCGCCCGCGGCTCCGCCCTCGGACTCGCGGCGTCGCTGTCGAACCGCACGAACTGCGTGTCGTCCACGTAGCCGACGGCGATGAAGCGGGGCTCCCCGCGGCCGGGCCGGGACACGACGGTGAAGAAATACCTCAGGGAGTGGAAGCCTGTGGGCGGCGAGGGGCTGAGACCCGGCCCGACCCTCCTCCCGGCGCAGGTCCCGGGTCCGAGGGTGTTGGGGCCGCGGCGCGGGGAGGGCGCGAGGGAGTCGTGAGAGGGAAGAGGGGCGGCAGGAGACCCGAGTGAGTGACAGGAGGGGACGTGAGGTTGGGAGGGAAGGAGAGGGGGCGAAAGAAAGGAGGGGTTAGGGCGGGACGGGGCAGGTGTCCGCGGGGACGCGCCTTCCCCGGGGGTCCTGCGTCCCCGCCGCGCGGTCCCCTCGCTCCGCCCCCCGCAGAGGCCGTTTCCTCCCGACCCCACGCTCACCCGCCCAGGTCTCGGTCAGGGTCAGGACCCCCGAGAGCAGCAGGAGGAAGGTTGCGGTCATCATAACCCGCATCCTCGGGGCGTGGGGAGACTGAGTCTTTACGAGTCCGTGGAGACTTTATAACCAGGAACCGCGGAGACGCTGACTGGCTTCTCTGGAAACCGGACACGCAATGAGAGTGAGAGGTGGGCCCCGCGTCAGGAGTCTCCAGGCAGGAGGACCTGACACAGGTTGTGAGAGGGAGAAGTGAAACTCAGGGAGATGGAGACTCCCCAGCGGTGAGATTCCCCGCCCCAGACACGGCCCTCGGGCCTGAGACCCTGAGAGCCACGTCCGGGGACCTGGGACTTTGCCCTGACCCCTCTCCTCCAGCCCTGAGAGCTCTTTGTCTCGCTGTTTCCCTGAGTCCTGGCCCAGGGGCTGTTTGAGTCAGCGATTCTCAAAAACTTTGGCTTCAGGATATCTATACAGTCTTACAAGTTAGTGAGGACCCCAAGGATAATTTTGCTTATATTGGTTATATCTATCAATATTTACCATACTAGGAATAAAAGTTTTTAAATATTTTTATTAATTTATTTAGAACAATATTTATAACCCACTGCAAGTTAACAGAAATAATGTTTTTCTGAAAAATAACTATTTGCCAACATAAACAAGGTAGTGAGAAGAGTGGATCTTTTTACATTTTACATTTTTGCAAGTCTCTCTTGTCTGTCTCATTAGAAGACCACTGGGTTTTCATATTTGCTCTGCATTTAATCTATTATTTTGGTTGAAGTATATGAAAAAAAACTAAGGCCTCACACAAATATGTAGGAATAGTAGTTTTAATAACCTTTTCAGATAATTGTGGATATTCAACTTTGTTACTGAAGTAAAACTACACACGTGGTAACAATGCAAAGTGGAACCTGAAACAATATTATTGAATATTTCCTATTCTGTTACATTAAAATCCACAGACCTATTTTGCATATTGAATGGCTCTTGTAGTAATGTATGATTTTTTAAAGTAATGCATTGTTTCACTGTTATATAGATCTTCCTGTGTTGATGCATTTAACTACAAATTATCAAAATATCACATTTGTTAATATTACCACAGATCCCAACAGGAAAGTTTGTCAGTACTGGGAAGCTGTCAAGCTTATGTGGTGGGACACAAGTTTTCCAAAATTCTAGTTTTCTCGTGAGAGTTTACATTTTATCAAGGCAATAAGTACTGTGTGTTGTTAATTGTCAGTGGATTTTCTTGAAGGGAGAAGCTCACGTTCATTTTGAAAAACTGTATGTCAATTAACCAAGTCTAATCATAGTTTCTGTCATTGATTTTTTCAAGTAAAACTGATATTCCATAGAAAAGAGGCTACCTCAGCTCACGCAAATTATTTTCCTTGGGACATAGTACTTGGGAATGTAGCAGAAGTGCTTTATGTGTACTTCCCACGTCATCATGTAAGATATTTTTAAAATGTGGGTTTAAGGATCATGATTTGGTAAAGATAATTTTTAATGCTTCAGGACATTTTAAAGTAAGAGTTGTTGCTTTTTTTTCCCTGCAGGTAAGTGGTGGTGAAGATAATTACTATTGCAGTTTGGTACCATAACCTCCGTTCTTACTCAGTTTTACCTCAGTGCAAATGTCAACATAGTGAAAAGGCAAATGATGCCTAGTAATATTATCAAAATAGTTTTGACCTCATGGATCCTGTGGAAGGGTCTCAGTGACTTCAAGGGTTCCACAGACCCCGCTTTGAGAACTGCTCATCTGAATAAACCAGGGAAAGTCTCTCAACTGGTCCCCACCTTTGCCTCCTCTTAGTTTCCCAGAATCCCTCTCCCTGAGTTTGGACTCCTTGCCTCCCAAAACTTAGCTTAGAGCATTGCCCCTGCTCTTCTCTAGAAGAGAACTCACCCACTGGAAATTCGATGCCAGAGAGTGTCCTCAGTCTCGGAAAGGAGGTGGAGGGACCGGTATTTCCCTTTGGAACTGGGAACAGTTTATGCCTGAAGGAACAAGACCCGCTGATAACCTATTTTGGTTTTGTTATACACCAGCTGAATATGTATTCACATCTCAGACAGAAATCTGACGTCTGTAAGAGAAATAATATTGGCCCTTTCATTTTATGTGGGTCTAATGCATCTGACTTGAGGCCCACAAAGTAGGAAGGGCAGTACTGTCCAGCAGAAGATCCTGTGATGAAGCAATTGTTCTATATCTGCACTGTCCAACATGGAAGCCAGTAGCTACATGTGGCTATTGAGCACTTGAAATGTGGCTGCTGTGTTGAGCAGTAGAATTTTTAATTTTATTTACTTTAAGTTTAAATAACCATATGTGGCTATTAGCTACCATATTGGAGAGTGCATATCTAGAATGTTCTTAGTTTTCAGTATTCCCCCCCTCCCAAACACACTGTGTGACTCATAGGTTGATGTATATTAAAATTATCTTCATATGGAAGTCATAGATTTGTCTGTGTGGGTCTTAGACATATCCTTAAAATACAGCATGCCCAAGAAGTTTAATTAATATGTATTTTAACATCTAGAGGGTACAGACATTAACCAAAGTGTGATTTATCAAATCAAAGTCATAAGTATTCAAAAATGCCCATCACTGGAATGAATCCTTATGTATATTAGATTGGGACTCTTGGTGTTGTTTTCATTAACCTGGTAAACATAAGCAGGCACATAAGTCTTCACTTTGCCCAAGAGAAAGTGTTTATTGAACATAACATATAGCAAATACCTTGTAGGCCCTGTACATACTTGTAAAATCATAGAGTAGAAGGTGTAACCTTAGATTTCCACCTCCTCAGAATTCTTTACCTATTGCTGCTCCCCATACTTTCCCCCAAATTTCAAACAGTTCTTTTTTTTTTTTTTTAAAGATTTTATTTATTTTATTTTTTCCCCCCAAAGCCCCAGTGGATAGTTGTATGTCGTGGCTGCACATCCTTCTAGTTGCTGTATGTGGGACTCGGCCCCAGGATGAACGGAGAAGCGGTGCCTCGGTGCGCGCCCGGGATCCGAACCCCGGACCGCCAGCATCGGAGCGCGCACACTTAACCACCAAGCCACGGGGCCGGCCCTCAAACAGTTCTGTTTCCCTTCACTCTTGGACCTTGGACCTTCTCTTAGACGAAAATTTGCATTAAATTTTTTCAGTTGTGGAATGAAGAATTGTCGAGGCACGACCCCAAGATTAAAAACATAAAACTTCTCTACATCAACCACACACTCACAAAGATAGAAACACATGCCCATAATCAAACTCGAAGACACATAAAAGATTTTGACAAACAAAAGGGTAATAACATGCCTCAATGTTCGTCAGCCAAAGGCCACCAGGAGCACACCTGTGGGCAAACAAGTTGGGTTTATTACTCATAGCTGCGAGGGAGAACAGACACCATTGGGGACCACAGGATGGCTTAGTGTGAAGGTGTTAGAACATATATAGGATTTGGGCTTTGGTTGTGTGATTTGGGGAAGAGTCTGTGGAGACAGGGGCTCACTCTAGATTGGGTGTTGTCAGGAAGCGGGGGCAATTCTATGATTGGGCATCTCAATAAATCTTGTCTGGAGACAGGGCAGACTAGAGCAAGGATGAAGCTGTAACTGGAAAGGAGCAGTGGTCACTCATGGGGAGATGTTAGTATTTTGTGAGTTGCACAGTGCCTTGTTTTTGTCTGTGCTTAGACAAACTGATGTAGTGGTCCTGTTTTGTCTCACTTTGTCATGTTCTCAGAGTGTCCTTGTCTGATATGGATGTTCAGTGAGGTGACTTACATCCAACAAAAGAATAACATGCCAGTTGGTGAGCACCAGGCCAGCTTCTGACAACACTGAGGGCTCACTGTAAGTGTCAGACCATTTCCCAATATTGGGGCTGCTTTTTCTTCTTTGTAAATTCAATATTTTAAAATAACTACAACTCACTCAAAAAATAATCAAAGAATATTAGAAAACAATTTGGAAAAGAAGAAATGACAATGTCAAACAAATATATTAGTAATAAATAAATGTAAACAAAATGGGAATGTGGAATAAGAAATGGGAATAAAAATTAAAATCTATCAGCTTGGCAAAGATGAAAGTAAGTGATAAGAGTATTTACCAGAGAGTAGGGAAAATATACTGTCATAAAGACTGATGGGACTGAAAACTAGTACATAATCTCTAAAGAGCTTTTTTGAAAAATCAACAATTTAATTGTGCTTACATTTTGACACAGAAATTTCTCTTTTAGGAATTTATCCTAAGAAGATAATCACACATTTTCTCAAAGTATATATTCTAGGATGTTTCTTGAATTATGATTTACGAAAGCAAAGAATAGAACTTATCTAAATGCTATAATCACTATAATGATGTTAACTCTGAATAGAGGAACACTTAATAAGTCTCAGGCAATGATGCCGTGATTTACATACAGGGTCAAATTTAATCCTCAAAGCAAACTCATGAGGCTCCCAACATGTGATCCCTTTGTACAGATAGGGGAAGGGAGACTCTGAGAGATTTAGTAAGTGATGGAGCCGGGGTTGAACCCAATGATTTTTCTCTCAGTGGCCTTGTTGACTCATTGCCCATTGGTTCCCTGTCCCTCAGGTAGTGGGTATGACTCTGCACTCCATGCACGGGAATTGCTGCAGTGTTCCAGAATATTCTGTGACAGGAGGCCACTAGGCTCAGAGCTCAGGAGGACATTCAAGGGGCAGTGTGACTGAACTGTGCAAACCACAGTCAAGTCCATCATCCAGTGTATATTTTTAGGCCTCTGGTGGATCAGCATCAGCTAGACTCTGGAGATCCAGTGAAGAGCAAGAATAAGACCCTGGTGATATGGAGCTGGCATTGTCCTGAGAGAGACGGACATTTAGCAGAAATGACAAAGATAAATGAATTCACTACTGAGCCAAGTGGTGTGAGGAAAAAGTTCATGATATCATGAAAGCAGATAACCAGGAGACCTAACAGGTCCCCTACCAATATTATCAATAATATCTAATAGATGTAAAAGATAAATGGCATATGAAACAAAAACAGAATTATATACAATTATATACAATCATAGAATAAGAAAGAGCTCTTGGAAATTTAGAATATCATCATAGGTATGAATAATTCAGTAGATGAACTGGAAGGTTAAAGTCATACCCTGCTAAGTAGTACAGATAGAAAAGTCATGGCAAGCAGGAGAAAAGACCTACCAGAATATTAGTCTATCAATCAAGGGATTCTAACACGTTAATAATACCAGTTTCAGAAATAATGGAGAGTAGCAAATGATAAAAAAATTTCAAGAAAATTTCTCAGAGTTTATAGACAAAACTTTTCATTTTGAATGGCCTAAGTTCTTACTACAGCAGGTGAAAACAGACCCACACTGTGACAATCGCAATGAAATTTCAGAACGAGGGTGGAAAAGAAGAAATCTTGAAAACTTTAAGAGGCAATAAACACAGGCCTGGAGGCTGGAAGACATTGCAGCAATGCCTTCCAAATTCCAAGGAAAAATTATTTTAACATGGATTTCTATATCAAGTCAAGATGTGAGTAAGGGCTGGGGAAGCCTAAAGAAATTTCAGATGTTTAGGGTTTTACTTTCCATGTTCCCTTACTCAGGATACTGCCAGCAAAGTGGTGAACAATGATGGAGAAAACCAAAAAAGGGGAAAAATGGGATCCAGGCAACAGGGGAGCCAGAACAGGAGAGAGAGAAAGGGCTCCCAGCATGAGGTGAAGGAGATCCGGGATGTCAGCCCTGCCCCAGGTGTGCAGGGAACCAGTCCATGTGTGGCAGGGCTGAGGGCTGTGGGACAGGTCTCTTCACAAAGATGAAGTTGGTAGAATGTCAGATGTGCTTGAGTACACTCATGAAGATTTAGATCCCGTGGAGAGTTTAAAATGATTTAATAATGAATATAACAGAAACTAAGGAAATGAAGGAACAAGATATTTATTAACTCCAGGGAACACAAAAAGTTGATTCAAGAAAGGAAAAATAGTCATAACCTACTAAATGCTCAGTTGTGACTAACGTTTACATGGTCATAATAATGCAGACACTGCACGTTGAGCTAATCAAAATTGTAAAGTAATTACATTGGGAGGATGGGGGTGGGTGAAAGAAGAGCCAATTCACTAAAGATGATACATAAAGCTGGATAACAAAGAAGGAGTATTAGAAGTATTCTATGTAGAGGCATAGAAATAACAATTAGAGAATCAGGTAAAAGAACTAAAACAAGTTGTATCTAAGATTCAGGAAATGGGTGGGGGGGCATCTGTTTTCGTAACAAGCTTTGTAGAAGTATTGGACCTTTTAAACTATATGCAAATGGATATTTGGTAAAAATAAAGGGACAACATGGTAGGTGAGAGAATGGATTCAGGAATTGTCCTATAAGGAGTGTCTTAGAAATGGAGCAGGAGTTGGAAGGAGACATAGGATTAAGCGGTGGATTTTTATGGGAGATTTTGTTTGGATTTATTTAGTTTCTTTTGTTGTTGTTGTTTTTTTAATGGGGGATATTACAGCATGTTTGTATGTGGGAATGAATGAGCCAGTAAAGAAAGAGAAGTTGATGATACAGGGGAGGGACCTTATCCTGTGCCCAAGCTGAGAGGTAGCCTTAAACAGGAGCAGGACCATCCGTCATTACTGATTGGAAGGCAGAGGATACAGGTACAGATGTGGGGGTCTAGGGGGATGATGGTGCAGTTCTCACCTACTCCTTCTTTTCTCTGAGTGAAAAAAGAAATAAGTTCACCACCTAAGAGTGGGGAGTGGAGGGGATTGAGGAGGGAGGAGAAAGTGAGAAATAGCCCTCTCAGGAGGACTGAGAGTGAACTGCCTCAGGAAATGGCATCTGGAGAGAGCAGGGCTGGGAGCCACTGAGCTCTGTGCTCATCAACTTAGAGAGAGAGTTCCAGCACTGGGGCAGCAGCAGGAGGATGTATAATAGACTAGGAGAAAATGCAACACAATACTTGAAGTATGAGGATTACAGTTATTTTTAGTTTGTCCTTTAACTTTTAACATTATGATTTTTCTACGGTGAATATACATTTTATTATATATATTGTAAATTATACATATACATCTGAATATAAAAGCTTTGTTTAAATTTTAAAAGGGAAGCAGGTGGGTAGGAAAGTCCAGAGCTCGGGGCACAGAGCTGGAAGTGCTGGGCTCTGTGTCTGGGCAATGAACTCACAGAGCCTCTTCTCCATTTCTCAGAACACTGTCCTCTGTGGAGGCCAAGAGGATCTTTCCCTTCTTTTTGGGGTGGGATCATTTATTAGTATCTTGTCAGCTCTCTGATGCTTTTAAGAAGATAGTTTTTGTAGTTTACATGGCATTTTTAGATATTTTCAGTGGGAGGATTGGTCCATACAATCTAGCCCACTTTTCAGAACCAGAAATTCTAAGATAAAGTAGTTCAGTGAAAAGATGATTGGTCCTTGAGTAGAGGATCAGAATCTGAGTCTTAACACATGATCTGAGGGTGATCTGTCAAGTGTTTTACAAGTGTAAGCG